ATTTAATTATTTATCTAATGGTGTATTTATATATTTAATTTTGGCACTTTTTATCCTCCATAAGAGAAATGTCTTCAAACTTGGAAAAAAAGTCCAGTGAATTGCTTTTTTTTTCCAAACTTTTTTGGAAAAAAAAAAGGATGACTGAGAATCTTCACCAGCCTGCGAAAAAGAGAATCTACAGGTGCATAAAAGCAAGAGGAGCATGAACTTGTGACATATTGGGGGTCTTATCGTATTAAATCAGCACACATAGTTCAACATGTGTGTGTGGAGGAGTTTATGTGTGTGTCGTGGTTTAAATAAAACTGTCCAGGTCGGTATTTATTACACCTTTTGGCAAATATCTGTATCCATTCTGGAATAAAGAATCGGATGGAGTCAAACAAACAACAGTAACATGTCCTTGGTAGTCACCTCACCTCCAAACAGGGTGCCGGTCCATGTACGCCCACGCATGAGCTGAATGGGCTGAGCACTAAAATTTGTGTCTGTCCAGCCAACAATCACACTGCAGCCCCATCCTGGAGTGCAAGACTCCAGCGCAGTGACCTAAACAACAGCAGAGCAGCAAGTCAAATACTCCTTCATTCCCATATATGACTGTAGAAGTTTAAACTCACCATAACTTCCACATTTCCAATGCATTCAAAGGAGTAGTCCACCCCTCCATTGGTCATCTCAGTCAGCACCTGTTGGGTGGGTTTACTGTGATCTTTGGGGTTCACAACATCAGTGGCACCGAACACTTTGGCTTTCTCAAACTTCTCAGGGTTGATGTCGACGGCGATGATCTGTTTGGCTCCAGAGGCTTTGCAGCCCATGACTGTAGCCAGACCCACGGCTCCCAAACCAAACACAGCACAGGTGGAGCCCGGTTCAACCTGCAGCAGACAATACTGCCCTCAGTAGCAAATCAAAGCCCTTCTTCACCACAATTAAAAATATATTTTTATGTTGTACAAAATCATCACTTTCATTTAAATCATCGTTTTGTCTCTAAACATGCACAAATCATATCAAAATTCATATTTTATTAAGATGCAAAAACATTTAAATCCAGAGGAATTATATCCAGGTGTTCACAGATATCCCTAATCTCCCATTAGCTATGACGAGTAAAGCTGTTTCATTCATCGTTGGATTGGTGACGTATTTCCTAAAATCCTCCCCTATAGACTCTGGTTAAAGTTTTCCAGCACAGCAGCTCCTCTTCAATGCTAAAGATAGGAGCATCCTTCTGCTAGAAAGTGCTGCTGATTGACAGGTTTATAGAATTATTTAGCAACAAGGCTAGGCTAACTGCATGCAGCGAGGCTAAGGCTTTATTCTGCTTTCCCTGCCTCCTCTATAAAACGTCAGGATCTGATCCAGCACAGATAAAGACAGCTAGGACAGATTTAAAGCGCTTTGCAGAACATTTTAGAATGTCGTTTTTTATGTTGGCATTCATATAAATATATTAGTGAGATACCTTAGAATTTATATAATATAATTTTTTTCTTTAATGCGACCTTTTTGAGCTGGATATGTTTTAGAAAGGTTTCATGAAGGTCTCACTAATATTTCAAAATTTGCTCGTCTTAAAGCTGTAGGTGTTACAATGGCTTCAATAAATATGTGATTCACGCACCTTGGCCGTATTCACAGCTGATCCATACCCTGTGCAGATGGCACAGCCAATGAGACAGACCTTCTCCAGGGGCGCAGCAGGATCGATCTTAGTCAAACTAAACTCTTTCACCACGGTGTACTCAGAGAAGGTGCTGATTCCAAGGAACTGCAGCACCTTCGTCCCCTTACAGGTGATCCTGGAGTTTTCACGGTTTTTCCCTTCAAGTGTACCAGCTGACCTAAGACAGTATATATTTAATTTGTATCATATAGATCCACAAGCAAATTAAAACAGCTGAATAGATAAAATAACAGAACAAAACAAGGAGCTCTTTACCCTTTGATACACAGGTTTGTTCTTGGACTTTTACAAAAGCGGCATTCCCGACACTGAGGCATGAACAATGGGATCACCTTGTCTCCTAAATCAAAAAACATGTTGCTCTAATTCTCATCACATTTAAATCCAAGAAGTTATTTAGATTGAAAATAGAAGTGGCCTCACTGACCTGGCTGAAACTCAGTGACGCCGGGTCCAATGCTCTCCACTATACCAGCCGCCTCATGGCCAAAAATTACTGGGAAGACCGATGGTTTGGCGCATTTCAACAGGAAGAACAGATCTGATTGACACAATCCGGTTCCCACAATCTGGAGAGAAAACATCAGAAACAAGCTTAAATTGTCAATGAATGTCATGATTGTAGCCCCAGTAGCAGATCAGATTACTAACTTCATTCACCTGCCGTTCCATGCCTGCTCTCTAATTATAATTTATCTTGTTCACCCGTCTCTCTTCTATATATATATGGTTTAGCCCAGCTATCAGGGCCAGATCATTATTTCTTTATTTGTTTGTGTATTCTTAGTTAATTTGTGTCAGGTTTTTCTGTCACTTATGTTTCATTAGTTTTATTTAAGGCCAGTAGATTGAGAGAGTTTAATGTTTGTCTCCTGTCTCCTGATCGTGTCCCGGCTCTTCTCCACTGAGCCCTCAGAGTTTTGGCTCGGAATGCGGTGGAGGTCAGTTTTAGTCCCCGTAAGCCTGGCTCTTAGGATCAGACCAGTTTAAAGTTCGGCATTTATCCTGGTACCATGTCTTGTCTATGTTCCTCTCTACCTCTGAGCCTGCCTGTCTTCATCTAAGCGCATCTGTCTGAGCTCGCTGCTGGACTCATGGAACTCTGAACTTGTCTGAACGCTCTGAAGATTCCAGGAACCCTGGATCTGTCTGTTCCGTTTCGGACCACAAACACTGGCTACGAACTCCTGGATCACAGAACTGTCCGGTTCTGAACTTTTTCTCTGACCTGGATAGGTCTCCTGCCTGCTCACCGGGGTTGCTGCAACAGGGACGCTTTGGACGGCTCTGAACTGCATTCTTGTTTGGCCGTTCATCTGCTGGATCATGCCTTCCTCGAAGAGGAGCGACTGAACTGTTAAACCAGGTAAGTGACTCACTCTGATAATCACCTCCTGTCCGATGATCGTGGTCTCTTACCAGTGTTTCTCCCTCCAGAGTGTCAGTGATCGGGCGGTGCCTCCTGCAGCCCGCTTATTTTCAACATCCTGTTTTATCATTTCTTGTCATTAAACGTTCTAAAACTTCCCACCGTCTGACTCGCCTTGAATACTGGATCCATTTGTCCCATTTATTACAATGGTAGCATCACATGCATTTACAGAGTTCTCCAGTCTATAGCATTAGCATCTTTTTTTATTCTCTGACCTTAATCCGGATCTCTTTCTCCTGAGGAGGTTCAACCTCAACCTCTTCAATCACCAACGGCTTGCCGAACTCCCACGCCACTGCCGCCTTGCACTTGATGACCTAAAGAAATGTGTTGTAGAGGTAAATATCACCACAGTCTGCATCAGCAGTGGCAAAGGAAAACTCTTTAGCTGGTAAATGTTTCCTTTATTTTCTTCACTCCCTGAACATGTGGTAAGTGAGGTTATTGACTTCCTACTTTCAAACATGCATCTGGAAAGAGTTGGTCAGTTGGTAGTTTTGTGCAACTTTACCAGAAGATCATTAATATATGAAATTATTAGACCTGGAAATTAAGGTAATTAATTGAGGTTGTCTTTACCCATTTTACTAAATCAGACCCAGAGGGCATAACATTATTAAAGTTGGTGGGGACTCTCTAAAAGGGTGGGTGATGCAGCTACAGGACCCAACAACTTTCCTTAAGTTTTGATATTTTCCTTCAAATGAGCACAAACATAAATGGCAATGCCAAATGTCTACTTAAAAATTGCCTAATGATGAGAATGCAACAGTTACACAATACACTAATATTTATAATTACAGATAGACAGATGCCTTTTAGTGCCACATTTATAAAGTGCTTTAAATCATTTACAACTTTAATAAAATAGGAATGCATTCAAATATAGCGACCCTGGAACAGAATTGGTTATCTCAGCTGGCATCAGGTTCTGGCGGGGGGGCCAACTAGTACAAAAGGGTTGGAGAACCCGCAAAATGGCTGCTACCATAGGTTGCTTAGAGCTAACAATGCTAACCAGCCACTCTTCAAATGGAAAAGATGAGTTCAGCAGACAGTAACACACAGCATGGATCATTCAGTCAGGCTCATTGAGCATTAGCATTCAGTTCAGAACTCTTATTGAAGAACCATCTGCAGTTAATAAGAAAGTTTCTTCTAGATAAACCAAAAACAACAAAACTCATGAAAATATTCTATAAAAGTTGAAAATTGACTTCGTGTTTGTTTGAGGCAGGCGTCCCCACAGTGGGTCCTGGAGGGCTGCTGTCCTGCAGGTTTTAGAGGTTTCTCTGCTTTAGCACAGCTGATTATGATGATTGCAGACCAAAAGCCTGTTAACCAGCTTTCAATTAAAATCAGCTGTGCTGGAACAGAAAAACTCTAAAACCTGCAGGACAGCGGCTCTTGAGGAGAGACTTTGGGGATGCCTGGTTTAAGGGTTTAGTCTCCTGCCATAGATGGAATCTTATAATAATATCAACCTTTTATGAGGAACAAAAGCTTGATCTTAGGATCTGTTTAAGAGCAGATTATCTAAGAACAATAACAGTAAGCGGATTTTCTAAACACCTATCACGCTGAAACCAGATACGTCTTATAGATGTGCTCTTGCACAAGCAGTGGTTTAAAGTTCACTCAAAACTGTAAACATTAGCTTTGCTGCTGCAGGATTTCTCGCAGTGATATATTTTTATCGATTCTAGCAAGCATGAACAAAACACAGGATACCGCATCTCATTTACACACAGTTTGCTTTCATAATTTTGCAGTTTATTATTGTTGCTCACTAAAACCATTTTTAAGTTAAAATACATCCCTAAAGTGTCATTAAGTAACCCACCAACAGGATAAGAACTCAGACACATCTAGCAGATCTTCAATATGTTACAGTCAAATTTAAAACTAGTTATGACTCAAAAGGTGAATTTTAAAAGAAAAGATCCTTGTTACCTTCCCAGCTGTGGCCATTTATCCTGCTGAAGGGGAATGTTAGCTGCTCAGGTAGAGGCAGGGAGATACAAACCCCAGAGTCTAGGACTTTACCCTCTTCAGGTTAAAATGTCACCTTTCCTCGCAAACCAGAACCCCAGTTACATTTTAAGCAATAAACACAAATTGTCCATTATACCAGGAATGGCAGAGGATTTTATTTAATCAGAAGTTAATTATGATTATACTGTAACCAAATGTGAATGACCTTATAAAAATGCCATGCCCTGATCCAACAATTCTTGCAAACTTTGGACCTATTTCAAAACTTTGAATCCAAGGCAAAGGTTTTAAGTTGGTTTAACTCCTCTGTTAATTTAAGCTGGGCATACACTGTACAATTTTTTTTGTCCTTCTTGGGCTGATTTTCCAGTTGTGCAAGAATTTTTTCAATCTGGCCGAGTTTCAGCCTCATGGTGCGTCCTGCATGGTGTAGTGTTCAGGAGGTAACGAGGGGCGATCAGCCTCTAACGACCACCGGATCACGGATCATAAGGTCAGGAGAAAATCAAACATGTTTGAAATTCAGTCGGCCGTGTTCAAGTCAAATCCTGCTGTTGAAGCAGAGCTACGAGCCGATTTACCAGAACCTCAAGCACTGAGCATGTGCAAAGGGAGTTCTTCTTCCAGATTGATAAGTCCAATTAGGGCTATCTATCGGCGCTGAGTTCGACGTGGTTTTTAGACGTACAGTTTGAGCAGGTAGATCGCATCAGTTTTGGGCTGTACATTGGAAGAACAAACATTGTGAGCTGTGAACTTTTAAGACCTGTGATTTGATCATACAGTTTGAGCTGTAGCTGCGTGCAGTGATAGAACAAATCGTACAGTGTAAGCCCGGCTTTATGTGCATGTTGTTCTTCCACAGCTCCTCTGAATTTTAGGGTTCCTCAAGGCTCTGATTAAGGTACACTACGTTTTAAGCTCTATTTATTACCTTTGGGTCCCATTTTTAGAAATCATAATATCCCCTACATAGTTTTGCTGATGATGTTCATGACCACCTGAATTCAGACTGTTTTCATGGGTTGTTCCAAGATGGTGGAATGAACTACCAAGCGCTACAAGAAAAGCAGCGTCCCTTTCTATCTTCAGGAAACTCCTAAACACCCACCTCTTCAAAGAGCATCTCCTATCCTAACCCAAAGCTCTGTACCCCTCTACTACTCTTTCTGCGCTTCCCTCTCTGTCTTTGCTGTCACCACTGATTCTGACGAGGGATTTTCCTCTGGAGAACTTATTGTTATATTGATTATAACTGTAACATTGTTTTAACTTTGTAAGTTGCTTTGGATAAAAGCATCTGCGAAATGCATAAATATAAATATTCTTAAACCAATTCATTTTAATGCATATGTATATGTATAGTTAATAAATAAGAAAATATAAATAAGTTTCATTCATGCTGTAAGTCTGTGTTTGTTACCTGTCCGCATTTTTTTCATTAATACTCATGCCTGTAATACTCATGCCTGCACCTGTGAAGTAATATTTTATTTTTTGTGATATACGTTGTATATCACCCCCCCCCCCCCCCCCCGGGTAATTCTATTAGAAACCAGGCTTCATCTGGCGGACAAAATGTCATTACACCTGCAAACTCTTCAATCATTCAAATGGTCACCCAGTAAAGGGTTCTCTGGCGCCACCCAGTAGCAGAGGTACAAAAGAACAACTGCATTTAAATTTACCGCCCCCCCTATGGACACTGTGGTAATGTGCTTAGGTCCTATGACTCATTCTTCTTTGGCTGCAGCGCCCTCTAATCATCACAAACTCCAGCCCATCAACTGAACTCCCTGAAAACAAAGCAACAGTTTCATTATCCCAGCTGAAAAGTCATATGAAACAAGAGGTACACTCTGATGCTTTGAAGAGATTAACTGGAAGAACATGTAAAATGTATCCATCTACAATTTACCCTTAGATAGCATACATGTCTGGTATGCAACCATGAGACTGGATTTTGTTTGATTCAAGTTCCCCTCCTCACCCTTCTGATCTAAAAGGCGGAATGGGTATCCTGCTTTGCAACAGCGATGTAGACTCTCCACAGGTGGCGGGTGATGCTTATGCACCTCTCTTATGCACCTTGCATTTACAAGGCTGATTTGGTGAGATTATTCCACAAAATTTCAATCCTTTATACTTTCTACCAATTTAAAGGAATCATATTGAAAATATCTACGCAGAAATAAAATCGGATCAAAACATGCCCATTAATTTTACTTACAGAAAGAGCATTGTAAAGCTACATTTTAGACCGGCCTTTTCACAACACATGAGAAGAGAAGAGATTTTTAAGTAAGTACATTGTGTAATTACTCTGACCATACAAGATTCAGGTACATCATCCATAGGACTGTGGGCAATCCTTCATATTGCACAAATCCTTCACAGTAGAGTGAGCACTTCACTATATTAGCTTCTACTACAGAAAGAAAAAATCACATCAAGGCTCGTAGGCTTTCCAAAAAAAGTTAATAAACAATCCACTGAACTTTGTTTCCATGTTTGAAGATGTTTTGTTTCCTATTCAGGAAGCTTTTTCAATTCAAAATGTCAGAAATAGCGTTGAGTTCCAGGCTTTATAGATTGGACCAAAAACAAAGCCTTGTCTAACTTTGGAATGGGGGTTGTTTGGGTTATTTGTTAGTCTGTAATACCTGATACCTGTCATTGTCTCTAAGGGGGGTCATTAAAGGGAAGGTGTTCTGTTCCCCTTTATGGGGGCGGGGATTATGATGATAGCGGGAAGGAATCAACTCAATTGCTGCACTGTATTCATTGCACACATGGATAGAGGTGTCTAAGATAAAAGTAAAGCACACCCCCAAATAGTTTTACACACGAAGCTCAAAGCATGGCGGTTTTGGACATGATATGCACACAGATAAACAATCATGCTAAAATGTGGTATAAATAGGCCTCCACGAAGTGGAGTTCACCAGATCATCCGGTCAGATTGATTCAAAGTTTTCTATCTAAGGAAAACCAGCTGATTGCATCGACTCATTGACTCTTCAGCAATCCCTCACACTAAGCATGCTTGTAGGGACGGTGGAGAGGAAAAACTCCCTTTCAACAGGAAGAAACCTCCAGCAGAACCAGGCTCAGTGTGAGCGGCCATCTGCTGAGGCCCACTGGGGTTCAAGGGGACAGAAGCAGACATAGAAAAAGAAGCATAGATACAAAAGGCAACTGTCAACCAGCTCCACAGGTGGCCCCCTCCAGGAAACACACAGCCAGGCAGACGAGCTCCAAACCAGTTCCCATGTCAGAGGATGAATAGAGCACATCCAGTTAGTCACAGTCAGAGAAACAGGACTACACTGGGAAACAGGCCAAGCTACAACATCTAGAAACAAAGGTGTTGATGGCAGCAGCACAGCTGATATTTCGCTCTATCTATCTTTATATATCCCATGCACCTTTTTCTTCCTTAGGCACATTCTTCACCTTTGACTATTTGAGTTGATGTAATGAGTAAATTTATTTTCTGTGATATCAATAAAGTCAATCAATCAATATAGAGGAGAAACGGCTCTACTACGATGTATCACCTACCCGCCTCTCCACCTTGCAGAGAAAGCTAATTTCGGCCGTTTGTATCCAGGATCTCCTTATTTAAGCATGATCCAGATTTCATGATCATAGCTGCGTGTAGAAATGTAGACTGACTGGTAAATTGAGAGCTTTGCCTTTTAACTTAGCTCTTGTTCACTACAACAGACCTGTGCTACGTCTGCATGATAACAGCAGTCACACAGATCCACCTATTGATCTCCTGCTCCATTCTGACTCTCCTCCAACCTGAAGGGGAAAAGCCACCGTGTTTTGGTCAAAAACGATGGCCTTTGACCTGGATGAGAATCTGCCCCTCAAAGTCTTTTAAACACATTATACTTTTTTTTTAATCTAATCCTGTGGTGTGATATAGGTAGATTCCCTCCTGCCTCTTGTCATGGTGACTCATCAAATCACAGTACTGATGATGAATTTTCATGGTTGTTACTCAAAATTTATTTAACTAGCTCACACCAGATGGCGTGAAAAACAAAAACCTCAGAGCTTCTAACCTCAGGTGAGATCAATTCAGAATCATGACTTGAATCTAAATTTGTTAGAAAGCTTTTTGAGACAGATCTGTGGTCCATGACAAAATAATGCATTATGATACTCCAGTCCATCAGCAGCTGCCTTACACTAAGCAAACAACTACACACAAGACAAAGTAAGGAGCAAGATCCAATTTTATTGTTTCCTTATGACAAATGACAATATATTTTATCTTAATCACAAAAAGTAATTTTCGTTGAAAAATTGATTTCATTTTAAAATCATAATCTGCTGTAAATTATGTATATATTTAGTTTTTTGTAGAATTATTTTTGACCAAATATAAGGAATTCTAATAACTTGGCCTTGCTCTTAGTCTCGACAGTGGTCTCGGCCTTCGAGGGTCTTGGAAAAGTAGCCTTGGCTCCGTTGATCGGGATACATGCCTAGAACACAGGTTTAGTTCATTTGTCACTTTTACTCCAAAAATATTCAAATTATTAAAAAAAACTTTGCACATTGTGGAAATCCAACAGAGCGAGGTACCAATATCTGAACATATGACATAAGGTTCAGTCCAACAGATGTAAGAAAGTTTTACACAAGTTTTTTATACATAGTAGCACCTTAATCATACTGAATGATTGTTTTGTGGTTTTAAAAGAAGCTTAAGTCAACTGATTAGATTAGAATTCTGCATAGATTTGATGCCTGATCTTTTATGTTGGGCCAAAAGCCATGATATTAATTTTGGACATTGGAGGCCAATATCCATGCTGATATTAACCATCAGCATTGGTGTAGAAGGAAGCAGTTCTGCTCTGCTGTTGAAGTCTCCTCTCCAATGGCTGGAAACCCCCTTTTCTACAAGACACTCCCACAGGAAAATGTGATCTTGCCCCCATGGGTGTTAAGGAGAAAACAATCAACTCAAAGAAACTGTCTC